TGGCTTCATCACACCATTATCCACCATTTATGATGGTGTCAGCAGAGGATGAAAAACACAACCTACAGTGTAGTGAGTGTATGTAGTTTTGCACTATTCACCTCTCCAATTGCGCCTTAAAGGCATCTGACTTGGTTTCATTGTGATTCACTGATGAGAAGACAGTCCATGAGTGAAAGAAAACAAAACTAATCTGGAGCATCGCACAAGACACAAGTCTCTACAAGCTTGGATGAGATGCAAAGGTTGATAGAAGACAATCTCCTAGCTGAGCGTGATTAATCTGAATTCAGATTAATAATAGAACACAGCAGGAAAATTGCTTTCATGATTATCCAGCATTTTAACAGATGGATGCACAAGAATCCTGCTCTGGTAGGAAACAGTCGACATGCCCACACAGTCTTGGGTAGAAATTTGGGCTATTTCTTTACCGTTTAATTTTGCTGCTAGCTGTATATAGGTCCTCCTTTTTCTTCTTCCCTGTGCTAAGTGCTAATCTGCTCTCTACTTTCTACTTTTGCCAATTCTTTCCTTGCCAGTTATTTTTCATGTTCAATTTGCTGAGGCACCATTTGGCTATCAAGGAACTTCCCATCTTATGCTGTGTAAGAGCAACTATCCTAATATCATTTAGGGAAACAAAGATTTAGCTTGATGTTCCTCCAGTTTTCTCAGTAATGTTTTGAAAAAAATAACATTCAGTCTTGATGACCACCTGTTCATCATGCTACTCCTGGTCACAGTTCTTTCAAGTGAACTTCAGTAAAGAACAATCTGCTTGCATGACTGATACATATTTGGATTAGGCTGAATTGCCATGTTCAGACACATCATCTGAAAAACAGAAGTACTTGGAGCAGCTGTGAAGGCTGATGTGGAAAAAAATTGTCAGACTAAGTGGTAAGAAAACTTTTTCTTTGCACACCACTAGCTAAGGTTAATTTCTGCAATATATAAAAATATGTCCGTTCTTATGGATCACACAGGATAAAAAATACTTTTGTAATCGTGTTAGTGCAGAAACATAAATGTTAAATCCAGAAGGAATATATTTTCTTCTTCTGGTGAGCTACTTGTTATTTTAAACATTTCAGCGACTAGAACTTGATTCTATTTTTAACACTTAAATTATGTAATAATTTACCATACAATGTTGTGAATCCTGATTTAGGATCCTGCTGGCTATGCAAATTTGTCACGAATGAGTGATTTAGATTATTCAAAGAATCATTGTCAAAGATAATAGCAAAAATGGAGTTTTCTGGTGTCTTATGAGAATAAAATGTCTCAGCAGGTTAGCTGAATTTATATAACAGTGCCACAGATCATTTCTTCCTAGGAAGTTGTCACTTTTACACAAAGGAAGCACTCTTAAGATACAAAATGAGTATGTGAAGGATTTTTTAAACTTAATATAATTGTTCATTAAAATACATACATACATATATATATATCTCAAAAGCAATCAGCAGTATGAAAAAAAATAAAGAAAAAAATTAAATGTAAACTTGGCCCAACTTGATTTGGTTTTAATCCCCCTTGATTTGGTTTTAATTTGCATTGTTGCCTTCAAAAATTTTGTGCACTAAAAATGTATTGTTTAACATGTAGGTAATTGATGTATGCAATCATTTTCTCCAATAAGGTATTTGGTTTTGTGACATCACACATTTTATTTGTACAGTTCTCTTTACTGATAAGCACCATAACATCTGAGTGTCTCCTAATCCTTACATAGTTTGGATGCACAACTGAAAAGTAGGGAAATACTGTTTTTCAGGTTTTGCAGATAATGACAGAAGCAAAGTGTAGTTACCCTGTTATCAGTCTTTCTTTTTTCTGTCACTGCTCATCCTGTTGAATGTGCTGATTTTTTCTGTTAACAATAAATTCCAAAAGGTATAACAATCAGAAAACCTACTTAGAATGAAAAATGCAACTTAAGTAACAAAGAAGTAATTCAAATATACACATACAAAAAAAATCACTCCCATTAGACAGTGAAGAGAGACAGGGAGATGGAGTTAATATTCAAATTACTGATGCATTAACATGCTAATATAGTTTTTTGCTCATATGTATTCAGTTTAGGTGAAAGTATATTATTAAAGCTGCAGGGAACTGTACAGTTAGTAAAAAGATACTATGTAGGCCAAAGAATAATTCATAAATATTTTTGAGCTAATATATAAAAGTTTTAATGTAAATCTAGAATAAAAGCACAGGGATCTATCTCGGTACAGATGTCACTCATACCAACACTTTACAAAAATATTGTTTAAAAGTCCAAATAATTCTGAAAAACATAAAAGGTAACAGCCTAGAGTAAAATTCAGCTTCTTTAACTTCTACTGATTTGATCTACATCCTTTAAAAGGCAAGAAAAAATGAGACTCTAAGGACCAGACACAAAATGGAACTGCAGCTGGGAGTTTAAAATTAGTCTTGCATAGACTTTGCAACCTTCCACGCTCGGCTGCTGTCTGGCCCTAAGGGACATTTTCTTCTCTGAGCATTTCAGTCCATTTATCCTCTAGTTCTCCCAAATTCTTCCAGTTGCACTTCAGTCTTCATAATGCTGAGGATTTTCATGATTGCCTTATGCCTGTACCAAGACAAGCTATCCATCTTCCTTTTATCAGCAGGACTTCCTCTGACTGGCCATCTGAGCAAAACCTTGCCCTTACAAATGTCTTCATGAAGGACAGCAGCCAGGAAGGCTGGCAGTTCTTTTAATTGGTGAGGCACTGGAACAGGCTGCCTGAAAAAGTGGTGGATACCCATTCTTGGAATTATCCAAAACCAGGTTGGATGGGGCTCTGAGCAATCAGGTCCACTGAATGGTGTCTCTGCCTATGGCAGGGTGGGGTTAGAGCCAGGTGATCTTTAAGGTCCCTTCCAGCCCTCACCATTATATAATTCTACATTGCATTTCAGTTCTTTAGAGTATGACATCAGAAAAAATTCTCTCCATTGTCTGGAAGCAGCAATAGAAAGGCAGCTTCCTGAACAGCCATGTGGCAATTTGAGATTCCCTTTTAAGGGACAATGGTCTACAACAATACTCAACTCTGTTGGGATAAGTCTGCACTTGAAGACTTGATCTCAAACACTATTTCATCAAATAATTCAAAGTTACTCTTCATACAGACATTGAAAAGCATTTTCAATCAAGATAAGCCTTGCAAATATTTCTCTCTTACAATGTATTTTACAAAGGCTATAGGAGCACTCACAAAGAAGTCTCCCTATTAACACCCTTACTGGGAAGGAAGGAACAGGCCTGACAGATGTGTCTGCTCTATATCCTCCTGTTCGGCATAAAATATAATCTTTGTTGTTAGCTGCTGTTGAAGAGAAGTCCTTTTTCTAAATTTATTTTAAGGAATGTCACTAAGGAAGGAAATGCACTCTTCTTTTCTCCACAATTAATAGCAAGAGACTAAAAATATCAGTGTCATATTCACTAATAAATAATTCCCTTCTTCAGGAACATCAGTCACTGGCTGAGCAATCTGCAATTTCTCTGGAACACCAAACAAAAAGAGTCTGCTCAGCTGGAATAAGTACAGCAGGCAGCTGTCTCATATTGATCTCCATTGTCTCAATATCTAACTAAGCACCTCACAGTGCTATTTTTTATTCCTTGTACTTTGGGGCTATTGCAGTAAAACCACTACTTAAACATACTTAGTGAAAAAGATGCATTCAGCTGGGATACAGGAAACCCAAAATGGTTTGTGGTCTCCCTTGTAAGATGAGTTTAGTAAATGGAAATGAGGTATCTGAAGATCATCTTGCTCTAATTGTATTACATTCAGTCACAGGGCAGATAAGGTGACACAGAGGTATGATGCTCCTAAATAGGATCAGAATGGAATAAACAGGACCTGAATATGCAGATGCATGACAAAATTATAGACATGCACTGAAAAAAATGTTGTTAACGTAGGGAACTCTCAAAGCATGGTGGCAGCTCCATTACAGGTCTGCAGTCTAAATAGGATAGACACTTTTTCCTGCAATAAAACTCCAATTCTTCTGCTTTCAGAATCCCTATATAAAATCTAAATAGGCTGCATACAACAGTTTGGCTTTAAAATAAGGTTTTAAATTTTGTCCACTGTTTGTTAGCTCTCCCAGTAATGCTTGGTTAAACAGGAATTTGTAAAACAATGCAGAAAATATCCATTTCATTTCAAAGGATATACACTTAATCAGAATGTGATGTGACATAATGCCAAGTTCCTTTGGATGGACTGGCTGGAACATACTTTGCCTTGGGAGTTTCTAAAGTGAATAAAGAACAAGGTGTTTTCATCTGAAAAGAATTCACCCAGAATTCATCATGTTTAGTAATTCCTTCAGAAGTAAGGTTGGCAGCTTTCCAGACAGGCAAACATCTGTAGAAGTGTATCAGTCCCCACGCTGTTTTATTTGTTTTCTTTTAACTAGATAATATATACCTTATTGTTCAGTTTATTTAAATGAGGGTGTTAAGTTCCTGCAGAGGTCCATGCAAGGTCAATTAGCTATGTTAAATACAAATTATAGGCCTTATGTGCTTCCAAACCTGATGGCTTTGGGACCCTGCAAACACTGTTGTCTGTTTTGGTCTGTTAATACATTCTTCCCTGCAACATACACAACCTCTTTCCACAGCCCAGTCCTGTGGTTCAGCTGCTATTGATAATCCCAAGCTCTTCTGAGAATCGACCTTTCTGAGCACTACATATTAATTTCTATAGCTAGGGGATGATGTGGCAGTAAACACAAGAAATTCGGGGTCTGCACAGAACAACCTGGAGGGGGAATTACTCAAAATGCTGTCCTAACAGGCAAACCCAGAAGAAATTGAAAAGCTGCAGAAACAGAAGTTTGCATGGGGTTTCATCATTTTCCAGAGAGCATTGCTGGAGTTCTCCTGTGTATCTTTGTCTCCTTGTAGTCAATATGGCTAAATAGTCACTTATGCTTCACCTCACAGTGATATTTTCTTTAACGAAAGAGGATTGTCACTTCCTCTTGCTTTTGCTGTTCCTCTATGAAATTTTTCATGTGTCAGTAGGTAAGCAAGAGACTAGACTAGAGATCTAAATGTTCTGCCGATCAGGAACGTGGTTGCCCTGCCCTTTTCCTGTGTTTTCAGGGTCCTCCTTCTCACCCTCCTTCAAAATCAGGACAACAGTCATCAGCTTCCAGTCAGCTAGAACCTCTCTGGATTCCCAAAACTACTCAAAACTTACCAAAAGAGGTTTTGTGATCCCATCAGGCCTCATAGATTTGTAGGGATCCAGTTGGGTAGCAGATCCCCCACAGTTTCAGAGTAGACTTGGAGTTATTTGTTCTTGTAGTCATGGTACTCCAGCTCAGGACACCGCCTCGTTCTGTCATCTGTGTTGAAAACAGGCAAAGAATGTGTTAAACACATCTGCCTTGGCCCTGTTTGTGAGGTGACCCTTCTTATCCTCTCATGGACCTATGTTATTTTTACACTGCCTTTTGCCATTAATAGATTTCAAAAAAAATCTTTCCATGGTCCCATATATTTTTGATCAACTTCATCTCCAGCTGGGCTTTGGCCACACAGATTTTCTCCCTACAGTGGCAAGCAGATTCTCTGTATTCTTCCTGGGTATAGACCTCCCTCTTCAGCATTATTTTTAAGAGAAAATCCCTGTTCATCCAAGCCAGCCTTCTGCTGCGCCTACTTGACTTCCAGCATTTAGGAACTGGCTGCTTCTGTGCCCTCAGGAAGGGATGCTTATAAAGTGACTAGCACTGAAGATCCCAGTACCTGCAAACATCTTTTCCCAGGGGACCTTACTCCCTGAAGTGTGCTCTCCTTATTTCCAGAGTTGAGGTTTTTCTTCTCCTGCCAATGGAGATTTTAAACTGAATCACTTCATGATGACTGTGGCCTAGACGGCTGCCAGTCGTTACCTCACTCACAAGATCCTCTCTTGACAAGCAGCAGATCAAGGAGGGCATCTTTCCGAGTCAGCTCCCTTGACGTGAAGTTGTCATCCAAGGTTTTTAAGAATCTTGTGGCCTGGGCTCTACCAGCTTTGGATGGTCCCAGTTAATTTCTGGCAAGCTGAGGTCCCCCATAAGCCAAAGGCATTTTATTTGGAAGCCTCCCTTAGTTCCTCAAAGAATAATTCCTCGGTGTCACCATCCTGGCTAGAAGGCCAACAGCAGACTCCCACGGTAACATCCACATTATCTGCTTGTCTCTTGATTCTTACCCAGAGGCTCTCAACTGTGTCATTGCCAACTGTAAGTTCCGTACATCTTTTTCCTACCCTGACAACTCATCATTTAAATCAACAAATGAAAAATGTCACTGGCTGATATTTTGAAAGTAAAAAGAAAGAGACACATGCAAAATAAGAAAAACCTAATGTTGTCAGAGCCCTTCTGCTTCAATGTCTTGCCCAGTTTCAAATGACACGCAGTTACCAGAGAGCAACCGCAATGGTGGAGGTTGTGGGAACATAAATAGCAGAATAAATAGCGAATACACATATGTATCTATATATATATGTAGTAAAAAATATGGAGGTGAAAGAAGATAGTAAGAAATAAAAATAAATACTTTGTTTAAAAGAGACATTCCAAACTTAATCAAAGAGAAAATTTATTTTTTGGAAGCATTCACTATGGTATGGTTGCTAGTTGTTTTGTTTGGGTGTTTCTGTGAAGGAATTATGCCCTAAAACATTAAAAATGAATTTATTTTCATCAATTCTATAGATGTTAACAACTTGAAGGGAAATTTGCTTTTCCTCAATGTAACAAATACATTGCAGATCAATCATATTGCAGAAACTGTTTTTCATTATCATAGGCTTACTATTTTAAAAAAATGACAATTCCATTATAATTTTTTCTTTGCCTTAGACTAAGATCAAATTCTTGAGACATTTACATACTTCTGCTTTAAGTAGTGAAATCTGTCATGCCTACCCACCACAAACACAAGGCAGTACTGCTTATAAGCAGATTACCTATAATCTATCCATACATATACCCATGATAATTATTCTTTGAAGTATATCATGTCTATATGATGCATGGTGCATGCTTGGTTCACTTCAGCTAAATGTCTCTGTCCCTTTCCAGGAATACACAAATTCCACTTAAGTGACTTACCTAAAAACCGAGTAACACACGTGTACCCCTACTCACATCTCACTATTCTTATGTGCCAGTGTTATTTATTCTGTTAAATGTATTAAAAAAAATAGACTCCCCTACTAGCACTTCAAGGAAAATATGTCTTCAATGTTGAATTTTCCCTCTCTTCCTATACAAATGTGGAAAACTATTTTTCATTAAGCCATCTCTCAAAATAATAATTTGTGCAGTTAGTTGTTTTTCACTTATTTTAAAGTTTTTTGTTGATAAATGCAAGTTACATTGACCTGTATAATGAACAAATAGACTCAGCCTGTTGGTTCTGCTTCTGCTGTGAGTTTGCCACTGTGACAAACAGTGAGAATACCTTGCTGCCTTTTTAGCTCTGCAACCAAAGTTAAAGGAACATTCCTTGAGGCAAGAGTTAGAAGTGCTCTTTTAACTCAGTCCTGTATTCACTTGAGAGTTGTCCTGTCCTGATTTTCTTTGAGTTTGGGTTATTTATAGTTTTGTTTTTCTTTCTTGCCCTATGCATTCCCTTTTCCTGTTTCCCTTACAGTTTTTAAGAAGTGCTGTGATAATACATCAAGAACTTGCAGAGATTTCATTCTCTCCTTCCAAAATACAGCCCAACCTCTTGGTCAACTAATTAGGTAAGTCAGACAATTCTCTTTCCTTCCAAAATACAGCCCAACCTCTTGGTCAAATAATTAGGTAAGTCAGACAATTCTCTTTCCTTCTGAGAACTCCTGGAAGCTCATGTTAGGTTTAATTACCCACATTGGAACATTCACCAGACTGAGATCATAAAGAAAATTGGTTCTCTCCTTTCTAGCTGGATCAGAACAGTTTCTGTTAAAAGCAAGTTTTCTACCTAAACTTTTGATTTCTACAGACTTTTGTTAATTTTCAGCCCAGTGTTATTTTCTGAGAGCTGATTAACTGAGCAGAGCTTTTTATTCTCTCTGGGTTCTGAAGCAATGCACATTTTGGACACAGAGCTTTTAGTCTGTGCAGATGGACCATTGCAACAGATGTTTGTGTTTATAAATAAAGCTGAAAAAAGAAACAATAATATCCTTTTAGAACTGGGCTTATTAGAATTTTGATGGCTTCTTTATCCTGGGAATAGCCGTTTGCTTTTGGCTTCTTCCTTCTCTTCTCCATCCTGAATCTGTCATCTTTCCCCAGTAATTAGAATTTATACTGAGCAATCAAGTTTAGTTTGTCACGGCAAAAAAAGAGTAAAAATTAATTATACCATATTATCCCTGTGGATGGAATAGCACATATTTGCTTTATAAATAATGGCTTTAATATTTAAATTATCAGGAACATCAGCTTGTGAAAAGTGCATTAAAAGCTCTAAAATTTCAGTTTTTCTAAAGCCATAAATAATTTTCTATAGGAATAACACTAATGGCAGGAGAAGAGCAAAATCCATTTGGCTATGTGAAATAAAAACTAATAGAAGTCATTTATGACAGCAGTTTGACTTGCAAACTAGTGAGGCAGCATTCACCAAACCACAACCATTACAGGACTGCAACCAAATAAATAATAAATACTCTTAGATTCCCAATTCCATGCATGTGATATAAGCAATAAGGAATCTATGGCATTATTGGAGTTGATGCAACAATATTCCAATAATATTTCTGTTATGATATAAATTAATCGTGATAATGTGAAGTTTTTCACTCTTATTCAGTATCTTCAAGAGTAGTGGCCGATGTCATGTATTTTACCTCTCATTATTCTATTAAAGAGTAGACTTTCATGTACTTCTTTAACAAAGGAAATATACTTATTTTAACAGTTCAACATAGATTAGTAGGTGTTAGAAGCAGAATGAGTAGGGCAAATTTTTAAACAAAAGCCAGGAAATCTAAAATCACCTCACATTTAAAAAAAGGTGCAATCCTAGAATGAACAATATTAAAACTCAAACTTTTATTGTTGCAGTTTTATGGTTCCAAAGACAGCTACTCTGACACAGTGGATGTAAAGCTTCTGAATTTTCCCTTGTAGTAGGCTCCATATGATTTCAAGTAACAGATGGCACTTCACTTTGCTGAAAATTTAAATAGCTAAAGCAGTGAAAAAGCAGCATAATTCACACCACTTTGAAGCCCTACTCTCACACCTTGTTTCTGAATTTGCTAGTTCCTCAGATCCTCAGGTCTGGTGAACAGGGGGAAATAAATTTCCACAAAATACTAAGAATAAAATGTATTCTAGAAACAAATAAATGTATTCTATAAACAGATTAGAAATCTCAGTGCTCTGCTACAACTCTAGACAAGCAGTTTTGTCCTACAGAGCGTTAGGAACAGGGGAAGCTAAGGAAGATGGTGAAATACTGATTTTTACTGGTTTACTTGTTTTTCCTAATGAAGATATTGATTGACTTGGTTCAGTGCTTCAAAGCTGTGCTGTATCACACAGCATGTTTTTCTCTTAACAGAAGACAGTGGTTATGCTTAGCCTTTTTTTTTTTTTTTCATTCTTCTGTTAATTAACACAGCATTATTTTTCTTCTTCACATCTATCATAGCCACTGTCACTTTGCTGAAACAGTTTAGCAGTTGGGTCCCTAATAAGTACAAAAACATGACTAAAATAGAAATTAAAGCCTCCAGAAACATCCAGGAATAATTAGTCATGGAGCACTTTCTAACATTTACAACCAATCTTAATAGTGTATTTGTCCGATTTCAATATTTCCATGCCAAAAAGAATTTTTTTTAAAGTATATAATTTTATGCCAGGGTCTAAAAATATTTTTGTCTAGAAATTCTTATAACTCTGAGCTGATCCTTTTGACTTGTCATATGGAACATATATCTTTGTCTCTGTCTTCTATCCAGTTCTTGGGCTCTGAGTCACTGTCTGCAACAAACAGACTGAAATAGAGAATTTACACTTTAAAGTGCAGTCTTTATCTTCTGAGAAAAAACAGAAGCAACAGACACTATGAAAAATGTATATGGACTATGGATATTGATTAAAAAATTCCAAAAACCAATGTTCAGAAAACAAGTCCCATGCTTTGGAAAGGATGAGAGAAGACAGAAGGCAGTGAGCAGCTGAAGTGAGTAACTGCTGGAAGAGTGGGGATTCTGGCAGTTGGAGTGGGAGCCCCAAGGGGTAAGCAAAGAGCCAGAAGAGACAAAAGCCCTTCCTTGCTATGCAGAATCACATAAATCTGCAGTGTTATTTTTCAAATAACTAGTCCATGTTTGGTGAATAAA